TATTGACCCCAAACCCTGGAAATTACTGAACATTTCTTACCTTTTTCTATGTCACAGTGCTTGCTTTGATAGTTTCTTTTTATAATTAATGAAGGTTATCTGCTTTTTATTTCTTTCTCTCTGTGTCACATGATCTCACTTGTTCTCGCCTATTCCAGATCAAGGAACAGTACAAAAAGTTGTTGTCTTACCCACCAACTTCTCTGCAAGCGGAGAGCTCATTTTAGAAGAGCTGGAGGTTTTTCAGGTTTGGCTTTTTCCTTCTTTTGCTCTTCCAGTGTGTGTGTTCACACAAGCATTTTGTTCAAACAGACTTTGGAAGGGGCAGCTGTGATTTGATGAAAGATCAATAAATGTTCTCAGTTGTAAAATRAAATCAAATTAGCATTGTTTTTGCTTAAATCCTGTCCTTCAAAGTCACATGCCTGTGGAGTCAAGAAAGCTACAAGTTTAACACAACATAAGCTGAAAAGAAACATAAAAACTACAGGGAGATAAGGGAATAGCCTCTGTCAATCACTCTGGCATGTAACAGCTTTTAATAACCTAAAGAAAATGTTCTSTCTTGTGTTGAAAAATCCCTTTCAAATATTTGAATGGGCTATTCATTAAACAGTAGTTTCAGGGCAAATGGTAGTATGCATTATAAACTCAGTTAAGGATTTTGTCACGGTTATTTCTCTATTTCATTAAGAGAACACAAAAAAGAAAATACAAAAAAAGAAAATTTAAGCTTCTTTATCAAGGCACATTAACATTTTCTTATAAGAAAATGAAGACACTCTTAACACTAATAAAGGCATAATTAGTCTTTTCAGGCTTTTGCTGAAGACTTGCCTTTAAAAAAGTTACACATGAGTGATATTACCTAAAACATACCCTTCATCAAGATATCSCTAATTCCATTTGCTGAAACATAAATTAATACAGCATGAAGATAGGTGGGCTGAGAGGCATCCTCAGCCTAAACCGAGTTGCTGGGCTCCTATGCAAAGACCTTTTTATCCTGAATCCTAAAAGTCATGGTATCAGATCCTCTGCTGTTGCAATCTGTGTGGCATCACGGTGTTTAGATGAATCTCTCCAAGCGAGCAGGGATGAGATCATGGGCTGTTTGCTAGATAMTATCAAGGGTAGCAAAGCAGAGATCCTCTTCCAGAGTATAAACAAGGAAAGGAGAATGTGGCATCAGATCCAATATTGTATTTGACCTTGAGTCTCCAGACAGTCCATGAAGCAGCTCTAAACTTCCCCAAACCTTTGCCAATTCACATGGTTTGCAGCCAGATTTTCTAGTCCTGACCTTCCTGCTGTGTTGTGGTCCACTGCAATTAATCCGAGCCCACTGTTATGGCTTTCCTTTGTGACTGAGCAGATGCTGAATCTTAAAAAAATGCTGAACATTTTTATTACCATCGATTTTATCACTTGTTTGGATGAACATAATGACTCAGGGCAATGAATGTAACAATTCTTTTCCAGCTCTTTAATATTTGATTTGGACTCAAACATTAACAGACTGCTATGATGACACACAGTAGTATACTGTACAGTACTGTCTGTGGGAAAGAAACATTCAAGAGCACTCGTGCTATTGATAATCTGAATTTATATGTTGCATGGTAACCAACCTGTATGCACTGTAGATAATTTGCAGGAAAAGTGTGTCATATTCTTATCTGGACCGTGTGGTAAATATTCATGGGCTATTTTATGATTTTTCCTTGTCATCATCATCAAAGGAAAAACATTGTTTCTTATTACAAAGTTAAAGTAATGGCTCCTRTATTTGCTGAGATAGGATAGGTGAAGGTCAATTACAAGTGTACAAAAACCTTTTAGATACACCTGAGTAATGTAGTTGAGTTTCAACAATATATTTTGTGAGACATTAATTGTTTATATGTCATTATTTTAGTTCTCAAAATAGCAATACTTAGTAGGAGGAAGTGGTCCCTTTACAAGATATGAAAACATGTCATTCATTTAGATATGACTTAGGTTTTAGTGATTTTTAAATTTTAATGTTGGGACAGAGTTCTTGACAATGGTTTGTAACTTTGTTTTTTAGGGCAATTCTCCTATAACAACAATGAAGATTTCATCTAAAAAGGTAAGGAAAAGTGCAATGCCTGCTTAGTGCTTATTAACTGAGRAGCAAATTGATTTAGGTGTTAGAATATCAATTCTTGTGGAGCACACTAACTATAGGAAAATTTTCAATAATGAATAGGGGAAATTTGACTGAAGTTTTTAGGAGCTGCTTATATGTCCTTCAGCCACTAAGATAAAACGATTTCTATTCATTATGTACCATTTCTAATTCACTGAAAGTGACAGTTTTTTTGTTGATTTGTTTGAMAATTAAGGAACCAAAAAAATACTAAAGGAGGAAATTCACCCTCCCCATTTTTTACTCTAAGTCTTAAATAGATTTTTTTTCTTGCAAGTCTGTCTGATCAGTGTAAAAAGGCAGTGTTGGGGTTGTTGGGCCCATGGTGCAATTGTGCATCTTTGGTTTTTAGTAATRAAAAATGACATTAATAATGATGAAAACTGCTAAGAGGATTTCTGCTGAAATGTTTAACAGACAAGCTAAAAATGTGGATATTCTATGATCTTGCTAGCAAGATGTTGCTCGATATTTACAAAGCTGCTACTATAAATGTTATTCACTAACTTGAATTCAGTACGATCTTCCATTTTTATGACAGAATGATCAAAGAAATTTCAAGKGGTTTTGTTCAATATTAATTTATATTTTAAGGTTGATTAATTGTTTTTGAATAAAACAGTAATTTTGGCCCAGATTTTGGTAATGATCTATTCACTTTGAACTTCTCTTGCAAAAGCTCTGATTTATTGTGAAAGTTCTCTTGGCTTATTTTTCTAGATATATTAGGCTATCAGAATCTGGCCCTAAGCCTCAACATAATCTCTMGGTTTTACATCTTGGAAATCTATGCACTGGAGAATCCAACTAGGAGCTATGCATAATATTTWTTAAACTGACTATGTGCAAAGAAAATACTTAGTTCAAAGGCTTGAGCCAATAATCCTCACTGAATAAGACCCAAGTTCTCAAAACTGAGCAGTATTAACTCAGCCTGTTTGCCCCAGAACAGAACAATGACACTCAATGTCCCAAAAAAACATTAACATTCCTGAGTGTTTCTAGGTGTTTTCTAGTAGGAAAGTGGAAATAATGTAGGCCTGTTCACCTGAGAGAGTTCTGTTGATCTTGATTTCAGATATATTTGTGGCTCCCCTCTTGGTCTTGAGCTAAGTCCAAAATTAATTGAAAGGTTTTAGGGTGCATTAGCCAGGCTGGGGTGAAACTCCTCCACATCTGAAATAAATGTGTTTCCTCCCGCAGCAACAGCTGTATGTAAGCTCAGATGAAGGGGTCACCCAGGTGTCCTTGCATCGCTGCCACATCTACGGCACCGCCTGCGCCGACTGCTGCCTCGCCCGCGATCCCTACTGCGCCTGGGATGGCAGCTCCTGCTCCAGGTTTTATCCCACAGGGAAAAGGTGAGCAGCTTTCAGCAGCCCCGTGAGGTTTGCTTTTGTTCTGCTGCGCAGCCGGGAGTGTTGTAATGTGATGGAGAAGTGGGGTGTCATTCCTTTCATGAGCATGTTCAAACAACACCTCCAWAGCTGTTGTGCTTGGAATTATTCATCACCTCGGAGTGTATGCTGCAAGAGTGTATGGTAAAGAGCTTGGCTTTTCATATTGAAATAATGGATGGRAAAAAAAAGAGAAGGAAAAGAAATGGTTCCTAATCATAAATATTAATCCTTCTGTCTTATGCACACAAAATCAGTGAGACATTTGTTCCCCTCGTTTAAATTCAATTATTTACTATGAATGCAATTATGATAGCCCTAAATACAGCAAAAGATCTCTCGGGCTGTCTGAGGAATAAACTCATTTAYATTTTTTTGTTCCTCATTTGCTCCTAAGTGAGAAGAATTATTTTCAAGAAAATTTTAGGCAAATGTGATTTCCATGTAATGCCTGTGGAWTTGGGCTTTTTGACATGAGGCTTATTAAAGCAGACAGAGAAAGCAATTTCTGTTTAATTTGCAACAGAACTAATAGTCCATCTCATAATCTTATGCAAAACAGGAGTCTCTTTCCTCCTCCCAAGGGAAATATTTAACAGCAGAAGGCTGTAGTGAGCGCTTGTCKTACTAAGATTTCACTTGGTGTACAAACAAAGGCACAGAATACACGATGAAGTGTTACTGCAGAGGAGACAAACCTCTCCGATGTGGGCTCTCTGGAGCTACCTGGAGGAGGTTGTAGGCAGATGGGAATTGGACTCTTCTCCCAGATGGCAAGCGAGAGGGCAAGGGGAAACAGCCTCAAGTTGTGCCGGAAGAGGTTTAGACTGGATATTCTAGAATCACAGAATCATAATATATACTGAGATGGAAAGGACCTGTCAGGATCATTGAGTACAGATCCTGACCCTGCTCAGGATACCCCAAGAGTCACACGCTGTGCCTGAGAGCATTGTCCAAATGCTTCTTGAAGGATGGTGCTGTGACCATCCTTCATCCCTGGGGAGCTGCTCCAGTGCCTGACCACCCTCTGGATGAAAAACCTCTTCCTGATACCCAACCTAAACCTGAKACTGTGCAGAAAGCCACATACGGTCACTGGGTTCTACTCCCGTTCCCTCAGAGGGGGAGACAGCTGTCAGAAACAGGCAAAGCTTGGAACTGATGATAATAATGTCATTCCCTGGTATTAAAGACAGTTGTTTTTGTTACTGCAAAATTTTCTTGACTCATTCCTTACCTGAGATTACAAGGTAAAGCCCAAACTGGCCATRTAGCAGTAAAGTACATGGGGTTTTAATGCCTTCATTCAGAAYATTCAGCCACCAGTCTGCAAACTCAMTGTTTTCTTCCATGGAACAAAAGTCAGAAGATGGGGGAGGAAAGGAAAGAAAAAAACCCAGTCTCAGTCACCTAACTCCTACACAAACAGCTGCCAAAAGGTACAAGGAGCAGTCAGATACACCCAGCCTGTGCAGTTTCCAGTTTGCCGTCCCCGTTATATGCACCCACCCAGGGTTATTTCCACTGGGGCTTACTGTCATGCTGATATTTTGTTTGCAATTTGCTCTTTATGTCAAACCAAAATAAACACCTCAGACTGTATGGAAAAAGTCGGGTTTTCATATGTGAAGGAAATGAGTTGTCCCTTTATCTAACAAGACAGATTATGAAGGAGAAAACATTGGTAATTAGAGCCAAATCCCATTGTCTAGACAGTAGTTTCTGCTATATGCATTTGCTTATTTGCTTTTTTTGACACTTCTGTCTCCTGTGAATTACTGTAATTCCTCATGCAACATCAATTTACCCCAAAACACCTTCTGGTATTATCTTTATTTTCTAACGACCACTTTGGGGTTTTTTTTAATAAATATCTAACTGTTAAATTTGTATTCTCAGAACTGCTTAATGCAAGCAACATGCCATTTCTGAGAGCGTGGAGCAGTTCATGGTAGYCCAAGAACTTTGGCATTCACTCAGAAATTCTTCAGTGTCTCCTTTGACTCATGTAAATAGTTCACAAGGGTKAAGACCCCAAGGCATAAAATAAATACTTCTGATGGCAAACATAAAAACTATATGTGGAATTTCAGCAATTACTCCTTTGAAACATCACCTTTCAAATATTTCCTTTTCAAACGATGCAGTGAAGGATCAGGTGACATGGGATTAGGAGCACTCTCTTGGTGTTTGTGCACTGCCTGATATAATGTGGCCRTAGATGTGCCACCCTTCACTCAGCAATACTGGAGCTCCAGGGGCTTTTTATGGTTTTTGTTCCTGCAAGTCCTTAGGGCATGGTTCAGAATACAACAGCTAAACATCCCAACAGCGTCTGCTTGCAACAGTCTATCACCAATATATTTTTTTTTCTTGAACTTGATATATAAAGAACTACCTTATAAAATATTAGCAAAGAAAATAATACATAKTAGCAATAAAAAATTTGGGTACCAGCTTTTCGTGCACTGAATTCTGTGAGCTATGACCTCCTAGCTGAAGAAGACTGAAATGCCAGTATTCCCAGTAAGYTCCCCAGACAGTYTGCTRCAGAATCATGATTTTACACCTGTCWTATAGATATTATAAAAAACTGTCCATTTAGAAGTATTCTGATACTTGGTGAGTTTTATTACATTTTGGAAATAGTCTCATTCATTCAAGCAGAGGACAGAATAGAATCTTAGCTGTTCACTGTTCTGGATCGATACTTCAGTCAGTCTGCTACCAAGGTGGCTACAGGCACTGAAAATAAGGTTCTTGTTAAAATCCAGGAGGGAACATGGCCTTTATCATAATTTTCTGCTGGTGTGTTAGATATGAGCACTATGAATCTTATGCATCTCATTCTTCTTGCCTTTATGAAGAGTTCCATCTGGGGGTTCTGGCATGGAATGCCAGGTGTTGCAGGAATGAACAGATGTCTCTTTCATGTATCACCTCTGATCCTTCCATTTCTATATCCCCATTGCACAACAACTTTGCCCTCAAAAAATGCAACAATAAGSTTCAGCAAACTGATTCTTCACTTAAACAGTGCCTTCACTCCAGCAAGCCTGCCAAGAGTAAGGCACACTTACAGTAGGTCATGAACTATGAACCGTTGATCTAGTAAAAAAATAAAAAGAAACAAATCCCCAAATCAAAAGGTGGTTATTTTCAGTGTAGCTCTCTTTGGAATAACATTTTGTTTTTACAAAATATTGCAGGAGGAGTCGTAGACAAGACGTTAGACATGGAAACCCTCTGACTCAGTGCCGAGGTTTCAACCTGAAAGGTACTGTAATTTAGAGATCCTCATGCTATATAAAGAACACACGGCKTTCCTTTATATGATTCATTATAACTGACATTATCTTTATGGTTTACTGGTAAAACATAATTGTTTTCCCAGTCTGAGTCTTGTTTTGATTTGGTTTTAGCATCTTTCCTTGCAATTAAATGAAACTTGCACATATATGATAAAATGATGAGCTGTGAAATACATAGTTGAAGTATAGTTYAGCATCCTTGAAATGGGAAGCTGACATTGTTGACTAGAAAAAGCTAATTTGAGGGTTTCTCTACCTCTWTTTCTCTTCAGACTTTATTAATGCCTTTTCATTCATTCACGATTTGGTCCTCAGAACTTTTCTGGATATTTGATCCCCTGTGGAGTTTTGGAGCACACCTTTCAGCAAACAGCAGGATCTAGGCCTGTGTTTTGAGTTATGATTATTCCCTTCTCCCTTTACATGGGAAAAGAAAACTTCTCCAAATTTCTTTATGAAGTCTCTTATTTCCAGCTGTGCAGCTGTTTAGTCAGCCTGATATGGATTGGGTGGCCAGGGAAGCCAAGGCTCTGCCCTCCCAGCTCCCACTTTCTCCAGATTAATGGACACCAGTCAGATATCCCAAAGTCATAGTAAGAGTAAACACATTTTAAAGGCAGCTCAATCATCTTCAGCCTGTACATGTCTGAACTAGGCAGTGGCAATGTGTGCCATCAGTCCAGGGGCAAACATCAGAGAATTATGCTCCTTTCACCTCTRTTTATGAGCCTGTACTGTGAAGTGCATTATCATTTGTACTACTCAGAGACCAAATAATAGAGCTGATTGCAATTTTTTCTTATTGTTTTTTTCCTAATCAAAGAAAAATGCTTTCAGAGTTACTGGTGAAAGGGAGTAATAATAATAATAATGATAACAATAATAAAATACAAAAAAAAATTAAATGGTCTCCACTGGCTTTTGGAAGAATCTCCTGGATAAAAAAAGACCACAGCAGGTTGTCTGTAGATCCCTCAGATGAAATGAGCCTTTCCCTATGAGTCAGTTTTAGGTCATTTATATGAAGCTGAAGAACTTGAACAGGTAATTCCAAGAGATGACCCCAGTATTAGAGAAGACACCTGAGCTCTGAGAGATCCATGCTGAAGCAAMTTGAGCTACATGTCCTCCCTTGCAGGCATGTCCTGAGACCTCCCACCCATTGTCTGTCCCAAGGGTGGGCGTCTCCTCATTCCATGTGGAAAATGTGAGAATGTCAATTGTCTGCTTTCTGGCCTGAGGGGAAACAATTGTTTCAACCTTGACAGACTTGTGAAACAGGTTTCTTGTTTTCCAGCCACTTTTTTAATGTGGATGTATTTATAGGTTTATGTTTTTTAGCAGCTTTATAAAGGAAGTTTCGGTGGGTGGGATATAGCAYAGGTAGATGGCAGTTGTTTCCCTGRTGGAACAAAAAGATTAAAAGAAACAGCAATTTAGACCCTTTCAAAATATACTTAGAGCCATTTATAGCAAAATGACTGTGTTTGGGGAAGAAAATAAAATCTGCCTAAAGGACAAAAGAGCAGAGAGCCAAGCAAAACCAAGGAATCTTTCAAGCTCCTAGAGAGCCGTAATGCTGAATTGAAGTCTTTCAACATGGCAGACCTCTAACATGTGTAAATACACCATTTTTGGCACGTTGTTATTTTTAAATAAATCATCCAGAACTAAGCAATCTTGTATGATTGTGTTTCACATTTGTTTAATACTCTTATGTTTGTGTTAGCCCTTATAGCCATTAGAGAAATGCATTTTGAATGCAAAGTATTTCTTCATTATTCTCCTAAAAGTTAAAATTGGTTTTGGTACAACTTCCTAAAAGTGAAGGACTAGAACCAGGCAGGCTCATTCCTTTAGAAGAACAAATTTCAATTTCACATATCAATTGGTGAAAGAAGCTGAAAAGAATGGGAGATAGAGTTTGAGGAAAACCAGTCTTAGGACTGTGCAAAAACAGAGTCAGATTTTAGACATGTAGACCTCAACATATTTGCAGTTCTCATATTATTTGCTATCCATTTCTTTTTTCTCAAAAAAAAAGGAGAAAGTTGTATTTTATATATGAGGCAAGCTTTTAAATCTGGAGGTGTTTTGTTTTCAGGACAAATATTATGATTTGGCCCAAGCARTGATCATCCAGAAGTTCCTACTGGTGACTGCCAATTATTCATCTGTCAAGACTATAAAGGGACACAACAGGTCCCAGTGATGACATATGCTCAGCACTTGCCCAGGTGTTGYTGGAGTGCTATAAATCTGTCTTCCTCTCTGTTGCTGGCCTGTCTGCATATTCATCACATTTCAGGTTGAGAGCYAAGTCCCTTCCTTGTGTTGGAAGAGAAGCAGAGGAGCCCAGTGCCCCCTCTCTCCACCCTGGGATGCTGCACACAGCTGGAGTAGCTGGAGCTTCTTTAGGGCACRATGCTTTATTTTGGTCATACAGCCATATTCCCCCAACTCATACACGGTGAAGTGTTAAGAAATATATTAAATGCTTCATTCTGCTTTGSAGTAGTGAAGAATGAGATAATATCAAAGAAAGACTGCCCTGAGTTCAGTTATCTCATCAGCAAAGTTTACCACCGTATAGGTGTCCTAATTTCTCAGAACAGACAGTGTCACTCTGAAAATATTGGCATTTGAAGCAGAATGTGCTTCTTCACATTTCATTTAATTTCTTTGCATTTTTTTTTTCACTAAATTTCTTATTTTTGGCCAATATCAGAATCAGGAATACTTCATTTTATCTGTATTGCAAACAGTTATCTGTTTTCTTTATCAAATCACCATTGACAGTATCCTGACCTGCTTSCTTTTTCTTTCTTTCTAGCATACAGAAACGCTGCAGAAATAGTTCAGTATGGAGTGAAAAACAACACCACCTTTCTGGAATGCACACCTAAATCTCCTCAGGCTTCTATTAAATGGCTGCTACAGAAAGACAATGACAGGAGGAAAGAGGTGAGTAATGTGAGCTGGAGCTCTGGGAGGAATCTCAGTCAGCATCACATTCCCTCCCCAGACAAAAGTGAGGGACAGTTTGTGTTTTTGTAGGCAGCCTGGTTACAGTGAGAATTTGTGTGGATGCAGGACAGTGACTGACATTTACTCATGGGAGTAAGAGCAGACTTCCAGTACAGCTGGGACTTCATTCTCACCCCCAGTGATTTCTGTCAGACCAGAACAGCTATCAGAAAATTAAAAGTATCTTTACTTCACACCTTACTAATTGCAAACTGAAGGTTTGCAGCACTCAGAATTTCTTACTGATCTAAGGAAATAGGCACAAAAGCAATAAATTGTATAAAGTTCAGGAAGAAGTCAGCATGCAGTAGCTCCTCTGTGCTATTGAAGAGATAAAAGGCAAAAGTGGGAGAAATGTGAAAGRTTTCTAGCAAGAAACGAGTCCARGCTAAGAACAYGTATTGACAAAAGCATTTCCTCACCATGGTGCAATCACATTTTCCATTACTGCACTCTCTAAGGCTCTCGAGTTTCAGCCCTGTAATATACATGCTTGTTTATGGGGAATGTGCCTTCCTTAAGTAATAKAAAAGGGRAAAAAATCCATTYMAAATCCAAGGCACTTACTATATGAATAAAAAGAAACATCTTTCAAAAGGAACTTCTAAGTGATRTGGTGTCTGTTGATAGGTTATAAATACTGAAAAGCATTATTCTTCTATCAGGCCATTTTCCAAAAACAGAGGGGACTTATAAGTGTCTCACTGAGTTTTCTCACTATTCAAAGACTTAMGGCATGTCCTGGCAATAGATGCAATTCTTTAACTCATTGCTTCAGCAGAACATCTCCCTATATTGTTCTTATGTTCAATAACTGTATTAGAATTAATACAATTTCAAAAACAGGCAAACTAAACTAATCAAAGTGTTARTTACTTTTAAAGCTCTTAGATTTCTGGAAATCTTCCACAATGTCTGCAAAAGTTTACAATAGCAGAATACCATGATAAGTAAATTGCTTCCCAAGAGAACCAGATACAATGCAAAGTGCAGTAGCAGAATAGAAAAACCATTCATAAAAATACCAGCACTGTTTCCTTTCATAATAGATTGAACTAGCAATTTTTACTTCACACTGATATGCAGAGGGACATCTGCACATTCATTTATAATTGGATGATAACTCATCAASCTGTGGTACTTGCTTCTTCCAGATGATGTGACCATCTCTTGGGACAGTGCAGAGTCTGAAGCCAGAAAGGAAATAGGAGAGTASCAGTGCTCCTGGTTAACAGTGAGCCAAGTCCCAGCTGAGGCCACTGTGGTGGTAATTTTTATTCCAGGCTATAGACTCTGCAAAGCAGATAGAATTATTCAGAAGTTAATACCCAGGAACCTGCTCAAAGTCAAAATATTTAACCAGAAGCCACCCTGAGTTCAGTGCCAAATTAGCCTCCCYAGCCCTGCACCTTTCTTCAGCAGCAATCTCTGATGCTTAAARAGGCACTTAYGGGTGCAACAGGGCAAATAAAAGTTTATTTMTTCAATTCTTCTATTTGAACAATGTGAAAACCCTTATTTCATGTAGTTTCTGGATTTTCATCTTTGTCTTCATCCTGATAAAATTTATTCTAACATAAGAAATAAAAATATCTAAGTAATTTTCTTTAGGAACACTTGCCTTCCTTGAGGTAAGCTCTCTCCTAATGGTAGCAATGTTGGTGGTCTATTGAGAACAAATATATAAAAATAGAGTAACTTTAAGAAAGAAAGTAACTCTGTTGTTCTAGAACCTTCCCTAAAAAGTTCCTTCTGCCCTTTTTGCTCTCTAGGTGAAGCTGAACGAGAGGATCATCGCAACTGAGCACGGGCTCCTCATCYGCTCGGTGCAGGACAGCGACCGAGGGCTTTACCACTGCATCGCCACAGAGAACAGCTTCAAGCAGACCTTGGCAAAGATCAACTTCAAAGTGCTGGACTCRGAGATGGTGGCTGTCATGAGTGACAAGTGGTCCCCTTGGACCTGGGCCAGCTCGGTGAGGGCDCTGCAGTTCCACCCCAAGGACTTTGTGGGAGCTTTCAGCCACTCGGAGATGCAGATGATCAACCAGTACTGCAAAGACAGCAGGCAGGCAGGGCAGCAGAGGGAAGAATCCCAGAAGATGAGAGGGGACTACAGCAAACTAAAGGCCCTTATCAATAGCAGAAAAAGTAGAAATAGAAGGAAYMAATTACCTGGATCTTAATTTAATTTTGTAGYAATAGATATTTTCRTCCTCAATGTAGGGGGCTTATATTTGTCTATTGAGAACAAATTTGTGCAAGTCTGATAAAAAATTAAGTGAAAATCCAGCAAGCCTCAGAAAAGATSTGTCTCCCAATGAAATGCAGTGTAACCTAACTAAAGAAATAACTCAGAGCCTTTTCTTTCCCAGGTGCTTAGTGACTCTAGGCTGGGCTCTGTCTTAGAAGCAGCACTGGGTATTCATCTTAAGCCAAATTCACCTTTAACATCACAGTATTTACAGCCAAATAGACATTTTTACAAAATCAGTGCATTGTCTTGCAACTCTGGAAGTATCCCACCTAGACTGGTGGTGAAAGAATCTGGGTTAAGATGATACTTAGAGTAGGATGGTACTAAGACTTCCTTGCACTGCATGTAAGAACATGAGTTTCTTGTTTACTGCTCAGTAATATTGGGTTTACAGCTTTCACTCATCGATCAAATCATGTGGATGCATGCAGACAGGAAGCAGTAAAGTACAGTAGAAATGTTTCATTTGCTCAGAGGTCAAATGAAGGAACAAACAGAAGAAAAACAAAGAACTTATACCTTATCAGAGTAAGCACTGATTATTGTGCATAGTATGAGTTGTAATAAATTAATGGGTTCTGGAATGTAACTTAAAATATGTCTGCTCATATTGATTTTTTATTAAAATAGGGTGTCCTATAACACTACATAGCTTTATAAGCGGCACAAAGGTAACATGAGAATGTTCATTATACATACAATTTTGAAAAACACCTAAGTGACTTAGGTTTTTAGCTACTTTTCAAAGGATTAAACTCCAATTTCTTTTCAAAGGACAGAATATAGATACACTGTATAGTGCTTATTCAGAAATGAAAAATATAGATTATCTTTATTCTGTTCCATAATTAAATTGGAGCTGGTTTGCAATGTGGAAAAAAGTCATAAGTGTCTTTGAAAATTTTAAAATATTATTTTTTCAACTGTTTTCTCAAAGTTGCAAATATTTTAACTAGATTTTTTTAATTAAACCATTCCCATTTTCCAGTCTTTGTACCCCTTTTCCACATTATTTTCCCARTTTCCTCCTATTTTCCGTCCTCTGCTGAAAMGCAGTTCAGGAAAAAAATGAATGAGGTAAAAAATAGAACTGAAAAATGGGTTTGGGTCAAAAACCAAAAAGTATAACTTGAGAGGCATGTTCAAACAGAAATCTTTTGTTTCAGAAGCAGCTGTCAGGTCTARTGAAGCAAGTTTTGTTGAAAATTGGGTGAGTGTGCACCAAGCCATCCTAGGAAAAGCAATYACTTTTTTTTTTGAGTAGCACTAATCCCAAAAAGAGGGATAGATCATCAGTCCTACTATGTAAAAGTGTTCTGGAAGCCACTGAGTCTGTTTGAAACAGCAACAAGGATTAAAAAGGATTAAAAATCCTTAGAGTACCTTAGAAAAGTGACAATTATTTATGACATTATACAAAAATATAAACTGATGTTCAGGTCAAAACTGAGCTATGTTACATTAAAATTCTAATTCTATTAGAATATTCTTGAGGTAACTCTACAGAGCATGGGGGAACACYTGTGGGTTTGTGACTGCATGAATTAAGATTTAGGGCAATGGAGGTAAGTGAATTAAATCTAGTGCAATGGAGGTAATGCTGGTATTCACCTGCCATGAGTTGGATTGTCACTTTATCACCACCTCATGAAGGATAGCTGGGAAATGAGCCCTGATCACATCATTTAAATAGTCTCTAAATCCCTTTGATGCTGGTCAGAGCTCTTTGAATTTMATTGGCGTGCTCACTGCTTGCATCAAAAAGCCTGGCAGTGCCAGCCTGCTCACGTACTGCCTTCTAGTCAAGTGCTCTCCTTACTCAAGGCCAAAATGTATATTTCTGCAATATTTGCCCTCTGATAACTAAAGTCCTTCTTATGGAAAACATCAGGAACTTTTCTCTGACCTCCATGAGCTTGAATTTGGCCCCAAGAGCTGGCAAAGCATATTGTGGAGGAATCCTTTGGAATCTTTTTTTGGTTTTTTTTTCCCCTGAGTATGACTGACTTCTGAAGTGTGTAAGTGACAAACCAAAAATCGAGTGCCATGAAATAGAACTACCTCCTGGAATGACACTAGTGCATATTCTCTGTTTGCTGCCATGCTCTTCCTATTTTCCCAGCAGATTCGCTGCAGAGTTGGTGTGATACCAATGTCTGTTGTGAGGATCATAATTGCTTCCAGATGGAATAGAGTGATTAATAGCTATTTAAGGGTACAATTTGCCCTTTAAGTGGTTAGGTGCAGTGATAATTTAATAGGCCCCCATTAGGCCACAGAAATTACAGTTACACTGTTTTCTATTAGAATATTGGCAATAAGGGATTCCGTTCAAACAGCGTAGCTCASAGTTTCGTATGATTATAAAATAATATTGTTAAAGCTGCTTCGTGTACCATTATTATGGTATGACTGTTTAAGGGATTATACTTAAACTAACATTTTTCCTGCTGCATGAGAACTCCAGTTTATGAGTATAATAAGCTTCTGTCAGTGTGTAACCAGTCCGAGCCTCCATGCTTTAGGAGCCTTCCCGCATGTATAGAGAAATCAGGAGCCAGAGCTCAACTGGTATAAACTAATCTCAATTCCTTGCTGTCCTTGTAGCTACTGGGGTTGATACCAGCTGAGTGTTTGGCCTTGAGTGTACAGAATAGACAAACTGCAATCTTTATTTGTTTATTAAAGTAGCCCCTCTACTGTAGGTAACACCAAAATTTAAGACTGTAATATTATTTGTGCTATTTAATACTTCCTATTTTGAGGATTACTAAATAATGTATATAATTTTATTCCTTAAAGAAAATGCAAAAGCAAAATGRCTTCTAGCATAACTTCACCAAATGTAAAGATATGTT